TTGCTTTTCAAAGGCGATGCCACAGTTACAGACCATGGCAGAAGAACCAGAGGTGTGATCGGAAGCCCGCAGTTAGTAACGCAGCCACGGAGTTTCTCCTCTGCCATACCTATACTACCTCTACAGTCGAAGGGCAAATTGTCTGGGCACGTTACCTCTTACTGTGTGCAAAAGTATAGTTGTTCATGTGGGACAGACCAAGTAGGCTGCTGCACACGACGAATAGCTGAACGCGTCTAAGGCCATAACCCAGCGCAACCTGGCCATGAATTTTACCAAAGCTATGCCAATACAATAAACATGTGTGTCGCGAAAGCTATTCACTTGGTTGTCGTTTCAAATGACTTCTTTTCAATTAACGGACTGATGGGAGTCCACTCCGAACTGAATAACTGGTGCATAGTTAGTGTTGCAGAGGTGATTACGATACGTCTTAACCATCCTCCCCATATGTGCACACACAATTGTTGAGGACACTGCCTATGCACTAGCCATCTGTCGACATGATGATTCTGACGCGGCGACCAATATCGAGTGAGCACGTCGAATCACGATTGTCATTTCAACTGCCACCTCCACTATAGAACTGTCCTATTGTTTTATGTTAGCTATATAAAGGAGCTGTAATTAGCCTGACAACGAGTTACCGAGGACGCACTTGCTTTATGCACCGACATTTTATGAGTGGCACTGAATTTATTCGGTAGCTGAAACTAGAGCAACTTAGTCCAAATTTATTACATTTTGTTGCATTTCCAACAATTAATGTGTCACTTCTTTCGATTTAACTAGTGACTTACTATTACAAAAGTTTTGTGAACCGAGAGCGAAATGGTTTATGCTCAATTTCTGTTGCTCGTCAGCTATTGACGCGTAGTAGAGGAAGCACAAGTTTAAATGAAAAACTTAACAAGCATAGACATAAAAACAAGTTTGTAAAAGTAGTTAGTTTCCGGAGGATCTCGTCAGTGAACAAATTCCCTCAGACAGTGATGTAGTTCAAATTTCTTGGTTGTCCTAATGCTAATGCCAAGTGGTTGCTTCAGAGGCGATCAATTTGTTATCCTCGGTAGTTATGCTAACACTGCAAATCTGATCGTACCGTTAAATCGCCATACAACCCCGTGGAGAGTACACTTTGACGCAAGACCTCTTTTGGTAAAATGTTGTCACTTTGCAGCGAACGGTAAAAGTTGTTAAAGTTGTGGAAGGTCTCGACAGAGAGCAGTCTAATTAAACATGTTTTCCCGCTAACCCTATCTGTTCATTGTCGGACAACGGAAGAACATAAGAGGCCGTTAATCTCGAGAAGCGTTCCTAGTCGATCTCTCACTACCAATCCGTCCGATTCAGTTAAACAATGCCAAAGACCATATTGAATTACACCTCGTGTGATTGGATTGCGACATGCAATCTCAATGTAGACCACGATTCACAATGAAGGGGACCTTGCTCAGTGCGATCACCCGGAGCGCAGCTGAAGCAGATGGAAATTGGGTGTTGCCCGCCCGAACACACTGTACTTCTACGACGCTTTTCGATCTGATTTGAAGTCATCAGATGGAGATAGAAGGTCTTGAAACTGCGATCGTTGGAATAGTAGCCGAAACCACTACCACTTTGGCTATCGCGTCAGAACGGGCAACGCCTGTTAAGATGGGAGGATGTCAGAGATTCAGCAGCCCCTGAAGAAGTAGACAGAAGAAACTGTCATTTGGGCAGTCTTCGTTATGGAAACGGTGGTCAGAGGTAGTGCCCTTGCAAGCTATTTATGAAGCGGCACACTTTACTGGCACTTTGTTTTCGGGGTTTGGCGTCCCCAAGGTGAGCACGGATGCCGTCACATAGTCCCAGATCAAGACGGGAGCATTTAAGTAGACCAAACCCCATTGGTTAATATCCTCGGGTATATACTCGATGCTAAGACACAACGTTTTGCTATTTTTACGCCCCCTACCCAATTCGTTTTCCATTTAAGTGGGCGGCAGCCGGAGCTGGGATGATGTTTAATTTAATGTGTCCTGGTAACTAATTTATTGAAGTGCACTGATAAATTAAACTGGACGCAGGCTGACCTACTAAATATCAGTGCCACTTGCATCCTTGATTGAAATGCTTATTTATCTCCTTCACTCTATTCGATTACTGTGAACTAGTATTTTTAACACTGCGTTACAGTTGTCTGTTCATTTTACGCCAGGCACGCTGCCGGGTTCTCGAAATGCCAAGCTACGGAGCTTGAATCAACTCTTGGTCAGCAAGTCAAATCTGAATTTAGGCACCCGGATAGATGGATTTTCGGCATCTGTACTATCTACTGCAAGTGAGCAAACATCATTAGCAAATATGAAATCTTTAACAGATGTAAACACAAAATGGAAATAGGTAGCAAGATGTTACTGGATTAAACAGTCCTTCACATTTGAGCTACGGTCAAATATTGATGGAGAGAATTAGATGGATTGAGATCAAATTGACGAGACTAACTTGGGTTAAAACATTTCATGTAAGCTGGCTTCATTTTGATGTAGACAACAAACGGCGGGTTGTGTGCGGTGTCTAAAATAAGTTTTCATAAAGTCGACGGAGTTAAAAGGTTTCAGTTACCCTGGAAATTGTTCAACCAAAATCGCCAAAATATTCATAAAATATAGTGTAACAAATAACGTTTCTGGGAGAACAGCAACGGTCAGTTTGAAGGATGCATCAAATCACCGAACTCAATTATGTCTGCCCGGTTTCCCTTTCAGCGAAGAAACATCCTTCCATTTGGTGACCAGTTTCTTGAGAGACACTTAAAAACACATTGCGGCCGTGATAAATCGCAGGGCCAGTAATCAGGTGCAGTTTATACACTTTCATAAAAGTGACACCATGATGGATAAAAGTACATTTGCTGTATGCTGTCTCTTGTGATTAGGTGCCTTAAATAAATCTTTCTCGCTTGACCTTAGGGTTACACAATGGTGACGATGGCCATACATCCTCATAAGCAACTGTCATGAAACAAATTCCGAGCTGTCAAAAGTGGTCTGTATAGAGTAATGCGCAGATAAAATTTTGTAATATCTGCTGTTCACCTCTTTCTCTTGCAATATAATGCTTACTTGTCATTACCGGGTTGCTTTTCCTAGTGAACTGCTTACAGCTATCTCAAATCAAACTGACAGCGTTGTTCCGCAACACCAGTGCTAGTGTGTTAGAACCCAGGTCAGAAATCACTGCTTCGATCCTTGCTACAAGGTGTGGCATCGCAGTGCATCTCGAGCTATGCATCCTAGTCGACTCTCTCTTGCTTCGTATGTTTCAGAGCCTTTTAGTGAACCAACCAACCACTACAATAAGCAGTCTAGAGAATTTTATTGCAGAAACAATTAGTTCCTAAAAATCGGTCATTCACGTTCTGCCGTTAACTTTAAGCTCGACAGTCACCTATTTCTGATTGTGTTCGTGTTATACTAGGTCCTCACTGAACATTATACTCCTAGCCTCTTTGTTTCCCTCCGATTTTACTCCACCGCCCACTAGACTCAGCTTTCAGAGCTGATAATGTAGCTGTTTTCTAGCCTTCTAGCCATGAGTGTGCTAGCCACGAGAGTAAGCATCGCAGTATTTCCCGTTCCCAATCCGCCAACTTTAACTCAGCCGGTCTCATGAACATCAGTGGTGTTTTTTGGATCAGTTAACTTAAGCGCACCGTTTTCTTGTTAACTTGAAAAGGTTGCTGACTCTATCTCCATCATCTACCTGGTATAATCGGAATTCTAATAATAATGAAATCCGCTTAGGTACATTTTCATTGTAAAATGATTAACCGTTGACTTGGTGTCATGCAGTGTCTGGACTGCGCCCGTCTAAAATAACATCCACATCTAACATACCTTTTTGGGCGTATTTAGCTCAGTTGCATTTCACGACTACTCATAGTGACGAACCTGATTTGTCCAAATGGCTGCTCAAGCGGCCTGTCAGGACTAGGCTGGTAAGACGAAAGGGGATCAATGCTGATTTGACTCTACTTCATTTCTATACTAATGAAGCGTACGAAAAAGCAGAGTCGTTTTGCTGCCCAACAAAACAACCACATTCAAAGCAATCATCTGGATAGCCACCATGGCAGGTGATATCTACAATACAATAGCCCTGGGATTAATGCGACATTCCATGCTCCACAAAAAAGGTGTGCATCTTGGTTATCATTCGGTGGAAAGTACTCTGGAATTACCTGATGGTTCTCACATCAAGCAGTGCATAATGTAGAATGGTCAATGGGATGTCACAAGGTTCTTTCCATAACAGCTGTCATGCCTATCTGTTAAAGTAAATGAATGTTATCTCCTAAATCAGGATAACGACATCAGCACTGCTTTACTTGGTTAAGGTAACTGTAATTTCCCATAGATGAAAAGCCTTCTATAGAAATTAAAATCTCGTTTCTGATACAGTTAGAGTGTGGTTGTTTTCGCAGCAACTTGATACCAGGACCATTCAACAAAACAGGAACTGTAGAATAAGTGAATAATTTAAACATGGCCACTAAATAATTGACCAGGCATTTAGTGATATCCTGGATGTTACCTGGATCCTTTGTTTTAGAAGTCAGTTCCTGGCGAGTTTAAAAAACGAATACAAATATTTACCGTAAATGGACCACCCACGTACGCCATGCCGGTAATGTACTTTTTCAGACTTTGAAGCAATACTTCATTCGCTAATCTCAACTGCAGTTTAACACCGAGTCGCGGAACAGTAGTATATTTCACGACGAGCGTTACTGAGTGAAGCGTTTCACACGTGTGCGTCACTCTGTGTTATCCATTAGTCACGAAAGACTGTAGGTAATGCTACCGGTAGCTTGTTGCGAAATAGCGAACCGTTGTATACAATAGAGTTAGTCGCTAGAGAATAGTAATTAGCCTGAGAATTTTAATGGTAGTACCTCTTTGCCTAAATAGATGGCACCGAGCCAGGAATTCGGTGGTAAAGCTAAATGTAACGGTTCAAATAGCTACGTGCAGCATAAGACCCACCTTGAAAAACGCATACGTTGATCCTCCGTACAGAGTCCCGTATTTAATCTTGGTCTGTCTCGTTAAATCTTCCACATTCTCGATCTCCGTCTCCATTCGATCGATGGTGAGAAATGCAGCCAAATTGGCTGTATAAGATGATACCATAATCAGGATGAAGAACCACCAGATAGTGCCAATAATTCGAGTGGAGGTGGCTCGTGGAGAAATGTCGCAGCCTAAAGTACAAAAAAATAAAATTTGCATATTTGTGCCCATATGTGAACAGATTTTGAGTTGCATCTTTATTTCTAAGCTGTGAAAATTGGGCCTGATACGCAGCCCACACCCACTTTCTATTGGATCGTCTACTTTTGAGCAAAATCCTCCAATGATTAACATACCGTCACTGATGGTTATTCCGGCGAACAAAAATAGATCGTTCATTAAGGCATATGAAAGTACAGAAAAATAAAATAATGGAAGGCAGTCCATATTTTATGTAACTACACATTGTAAGCAATTTGCTCAGTAACATTCTTTTTTACTAAAATCCTTTTTTTAGCCGACTGATTAAACAATACTACCAAAAGGTGAATCAGGACGAATTCAAATAATGCTTTAGTCAAGAGACCATTCGCTTGTCAGCCACTCGCAAACGAACAACTCAATGCAATGTTTGCATTTGTCTACATGTTCCATAGAGCGAGCGCTGGAAACGCAAAATAAAACCGAATGACTCCCGAAAACAAAAAACGTAAAATGGCTCCTAATCCACAATGTCCCCGAGCTTCATAATTCAGCTGGGGTTGTGGCCATAGCGCAAGATTAGAATGAACGGCACTTCATCCGCGTAGTTCTCACACTCGAGAATGTGATCTGCAGTTCGATCTCAAGGTTGTCATGATCACCTAACTACAAAGGGAGGGGTCCACGAGTTATAAAATTAACAGTTTAAATCAAAGTTATGGCGAAACAGGTGATAGAAAGATGGCCAAAGCTGCATGAAGAGTTGCCATCCGAGCTGCATATGTAGCTGATGGACACAAGGCCGTAAACCTACGGGATAATAATGCAAATGCAGCCCTACATTACAATCCCATCTACATGCCGCTCAGAACCGGGATGCAGTCAGAATGTTCTGTCAGCTGAAGGGTGTCTAGGTTTTCAGTCACCTACTGACGCCTAGTACTCTACATGTCAACCCGTGATTACTCCGGATCCAACGAGTACGGCCAAAAACATGGACGTCAAGCACCCTACCCCAGCAGTGTTGGCATGGTACTCCACACAGAAGCCGCATGTACAAATACACTGCTAACATCTGGGGCTCTCACGCGTGTGTATGACAGCGCTTAAGGTCTCTTCAGTACTCGTCAAGCTTATACTCCTTGGGATATCGCCATGCATACGGAAACGTGGCTGAATACTGAGATCACTGGTGCCGGCATAATGCTAGGAAACTTCTGACCAAGCAATGCAGGCGGAGTGCTATTGTATTACCGAAGACTTTCATCTCAATATCATAAATGATCCGGATACACAAGTTGCCATCTTCTCTGGTGTCTTCTGTATATGCAAATAAGTTGCAAGACCATCTTTATTGGTTGTGCGTACAACTCACCACACCCACATAAAGCGGATAACGACCGCTGCGTGGAAGTCTTCTCATATGCCTCTGAACAGCCGGCAACTCAGGAAATTATTGGTAGAGACTTTACTATGCCTGAGGTTTCCTGGTATCCACCATGGACCCCATTAAAATATCGACATGTTGTTTCATCAATATATACGTTTGATCAGATTCAACATATTTCTTCTTCAACGACTGGTGACCACTTTCAAGACCTAATCTCTACAAAAGACATGAGTCTTAGAGGTAAACTCATCCTCAGCAATCTTCCTGGGAGTGACTGCAAGATACCAGAGATCAGCTTTAAAGGAATCGCCTACAACCACAACGCCTTAAGCAATATTAGAATTTTCGTGACGATCACAGGCCTAACTGAAAAGACCGCAATCAAATTGTTATCTCTAGACTTGGATGACTATTTTCTATCCCCTGAACTTCAACTTGTAGCTGACTAGCTGTACAAAATAGTAAACCCGTGTCTAGATTTCTTCTGTCCGATGCGTCACAGGCGTACATCCCTCTAAAGAAGTCATACCACTATCCCAAGGTATAGCATAGGAAAGCTGAAGAAGCTACGATATGGACTTAAAAAGACTCACAATTTTAGTCTAATAATTCAGCAAAATCAAAGAATGTCATCCATATAGCAAATGATAAAATGCTCTCATTCGTAGTCGACCCACCTCCACCACATTTTTCTTCATAAAACAACCTTGTTCCGCACATCTAACCATGTTTTCTGTCTGGAGTGATTAACGAAACCCGTCGATATCACCGCTTACACATCTCGGCTGCCCCTTATGGTTGAAGCGCTGAAGGATCGGCTCGTGAACACCTTTCTTAGGAACGGATTGAACGCAAACCCTTCTTGACGATTCAACTACAAATGTGATCGGATAAACTCCAAGGTCCGTGTCCCACACTAGCGAGGTATAAACCATTCATTTATCTTTGTTTACCTATGACTACCTTTTTACATTCGTACTGTAATGCTAAATATGAATTCTGTCCCGGAGGCGACAGTCCTGGAGCATAGAACTAGTCTCATTGCTCAGCGCAATCGATTCCTCTACTTTTGGAACGCAAGCAAATGATGATGAATCTGAAACTATTTTCATAACTGTTTAGCACATCGATACTTCGACCAGTCATCTGTTTTTAACACATCCCTTGTATAAGTTGGCTGGTCTTTCTTGAGCGCAGATTTTATATTCTTCTTTACTTCACTGCTGAGTACAACTGTGCCGATCACCTGCGGTGACGGAGTCAATCTTCCAATGCTAATATTCATAGCCGTTCAAGGCGTATTACCATTGGTTCCCTGATGAGAAGAAAGTGCTTTACTCAAAGAAACGAGCTGATGGTACGGGATAGGTGACTTGACTGTCCACACTATATACACAGAAAAACAGCCCTAAAGTTGAGTTACATAAGTGCTGGCTTGCCTTCTTTAAAAACCACACCGGCACACGACCAGTTTGGGTACGGAATTGCGGGTGAAGTCCATCGAGAGAATAACCCGCATGGAACCAGGTCCCCAGGAGGCGGTCCTAGTATTGGCTGTATTACTTCACGTATACGTTTTATTTATCTACCCTTAGTATCTTGTAAAACATCCCAATTTTCCATAGAGATTCAACCGATCATTTGGACATGTCCGCCAAAAACCTTGAGGACTGCTTTGGAAAATGCAAAACCATCACATCTTCTTCATTGCAACGTTGCCGTACACCAATAATCGTAATATCCAGTTGAACTGTACCTCGCAGCAATGCGAGATTTTTATTTTTATTTTATTTATTTATTTATTTATTTTATTCACCACAAATTCCCATTGCCCATGCAAGAACGTGGTTGTAACCTTAGGTATTTGATCTGTGCCAAACAAGGACACACCTTCTCACTTAACGAGAAATATAACCACTATTATTATACCTTACCGCCCTTCAGGTCCACCTTGGAAATGAATCGTAGCCTGCTATAAAGCGAATACTGGGACGACAATAGAGACTTTTCTTTGACCGGGGACTGCAAGCTGTGCGCAATCGATATACAAGCCTCGCTCAGTGAACACTTCATATGTAATTAACAGGAAGCACTTGCCGATTTGCCGCTACACAAGTACTTCACCGACGCCACGAGATACAAAACTGGCGACGAATCATGTCTTAGACCTTGTGTTCACCAACGAGGTACTAATAATCGATGCAGTAAATTTACGCGCACCGCTTAGCCGTAGCGATCACGCTACATTGCTCTTCCGCTTCATCTGCTATGCGGAATATATCTGTGAAAACAGCGAAGAAGTTCATCTGGTCACCCATTACGGTACACTATTTGACCTCGTCCAGAAGATCAACTGGTCCTTCCTAGCTGAGCAGCCTGCCGTCTTCGCCTGCAAAGTGTTTGTCACCTTTTTCACCGGGCAAGTATTGAATGTGTCTGAAAGCAAAGTCTTTCGCACGAAGCAAATGAAGTCGTTCCCGAGAAGCAGGACAGGGAATTACATGGCCCTAAGGGATTCGACTTGGCACGGTAGCCATGCTTGTCGGGCTTGGGTTGCCTACATAAATAAGCAGAATCACTGTGTCAAATTGGTCCGCGATGACAAATGCAAACATCAACAGGTCTTAGCGAAGAAATTCACTACTACTCTTAAGATGCTCTACAGATGCGTGAACAGGCTCCTAAGAGTGCAGCTCGGAATCCCGGTTCCATGTGCACTATATGGATAGCCTAGCTCTCACACTAGAGGTTGCGGTGAGCACGCTTCGGCAAAAGTTTGCCCGCACTTTGCAACGTGAACCGTCACCTCACTTGTTCAGGACGAAGCTCAATCCGCCCCCAGGATTAGGCCAGTTATTCTTTACTGCTGCAAATGTGAGGAGAAGGATACTGTCCTTTCGTGTGCACAGCTCTTCTGCTGTGGACGATGTCAGACCGAAAGGATTAAATACACTCGCCATGAGCGTTGCCGATACGTTAGCTCAGTTCTTTTACCGAAAAGATAAAGCAATGCAGGTTTTTCCCACAAGGTAGAATCAGTTTCTAGTCATCCCGATTTACAAGAGTGCTGCGCACCACGGTGCCTGACGATCACGAACACTCGGTTTGCACTGTGTGAGAGTGAACAAGCAATTTGTACATAACCACGGAGTGGTCACGCTCACATGCTCGACTATGTCATCGTACCTCAGCGTGACATGCATGAAGCGCACATGACACGTGAACTGCGTGGAGCTGCGTGTGGCACTGACCACAAGTTGTTGCGGACCAAACTGTACACATCTTTTCGTAAATCCATGTATTGCACTTCTACCGGTACTGTGGCGAAGCGTATTGAGCGCGAGAAGGCGATGGTTGCATGTCTGTGTGATGTGGAACATATAGCCACAGTGGGCGACCTATGGCACCACATTCACGATCAGGTGGCAGCTGCTACCGAGGAGATCATCGAAATTGCAAACTGTAAGCGACTGGATTGTTTTGACGAGAACAATGTGACGGCTGGCACATTGGTATCTGAAAAGAACGCAGCATTCGGTACACATGTGGCATACGCCAGTGACTTGGGGAAGAAGGGTCAGTTTCGTCAACTTCGACGGC